GTCCCTTCTACCCCCAACAACTTGAAGCAGGGCCCAGGAACTACTTCTGAGTGATAACTTAGTGACTTTAATTTCTCAAAATGTGATGGGACCCAAAGCCTCTGGTCCAGTGATAAGTTAGTGCCAGGCCCCCGGCAGCCCCGGCCAGGTGCCAGGCACTGTTCTTTGTAGTGACCTTGTTTATTTCTCATAGCGACTCTGTGAGGTCAAGACTGCTCATTCATATCACCCCATCCACAGCTGGGGCAGCTAGAGGTGGAAGAACTGGCCCACCACACAGAGCTGGTAAGTGGAGGGCTGGGACACATGCCCAGGACCTTCCTCACAACCACTAGGCTCTCCAACCTGCTTATTTACACTTTGGGACTCGGAATGACCAGGTGGGGCCAGTGGCCTGGCTGAGTAAAGCAGCACCCCACTCAAGGTGTACCCGCCTCATGCTGCACGGGGAGCTGCATGCCCAAGGGAAAGGGGACGCTCTGCTGTTGGTTGAGGTGCTGGCAGCTCCAGACCCCTTCATCAGCAGCTGCTGATTCTGCTGGTCCAAAGGACTGCCAGGCCTGCCCCTGATAGTGCAAAGGTCCTGCCTTACCAGGGTCACTGGCTGGCCTCCGGTCCCTGCTGGGCAGGACCAGGGCTCCAGTTTGGGAACTTTGGCTCTCAAGCCTGTAGCCTGGGCTCCTGCTACTCTCCAGGCTGGTCCTGCATGGTGTCCACCTTCCACCCCATAGACACACGCACCCACACCACCCTCTCCTCTCCTCCCCAAGGCTGTACCACATTCCCAGAAGAAAGCAGACAAAAGGAATTGAGGGGATTGGCCAGTTAGCTCAGTTGGTTAGACACAGTGTTTTAACATGATGGTTAAGTGTTTGTCTCCCTGTACTGGCCACTCGCCAAAAACAAACAAAAGGAATAGAGGATGTCAGAACACGTGAAGGTAGCAGGGGCTTCTCAGAATCCTGGATCTGGTGTCTCCCCTACCCCATTTTAGAGATGGGAATACTGAGGATGGGAGAAAGAGGGACTGGAATCCACTGGGCTTGCTGTAGCTCTGTGGCCTGGCAGCTGAGGGACAGGCTAAGGGGGACAGACTGAGGGGTGGACCGTGTGCATCCCAGAGCTTGTGCAACTGGGAGTGGTATAACTGTAGAGGTGGCTAGAAGAGACCGGAACTCAGGGCATGTGGCGGAACTCAGGTGTGCACGACACCCCCACCCTTCCCTGGCTCACTCGACCCTCACTCACCAGCCTCCAAAGTGTCACTCTCTCCACACTTGGGCAGGTGCCCTCCCTGGCACACCCCTCACCTGCGGGGTAACCTGTGCACAATCCATCCCTGGGCCGTGAAGGTCCTGATTTAAGATGCAGGAAAGGAAAGTTAGGAATAAAACTGAGAGTGCTTATCTAGCTACTTCCCTTTTGCAATCTCCTCTAGGCCCTGTGGCTTCCTGCCAACACACAGATGGGAGACTGGAAAGAACATTTTGGGGGAGGGAGTGGTGTTTGCAGGCAGATGGATGTTGATGGCTTTGCCTCTAAAACCTGTTGCTCTAACCCACTTGAGCCTCTGTTCTCCAGAAGGGAGACTCCCAGGAGGGGACAGGAGGAGACAAGGGTAGTTGCTGTCCCCGGCAGGAATCCAACCCTGAAATGACACTTGGAATGTTAAAAAAATACCTGTCAAGGCCACAGGGCTCTGCTAAATATTGTTTTCTTTTTATGCCCTGCTTTGTTCCAAACAGGACTGGTGGCAGCTTACAAACATACATAAAATACAATAGGATAAAAATAGATCAGAGAGAAAACAGAGCTGGAATAAACAGTACGATGAACAAAGAAGGTAGTTTACAGAAATGTTCTCTAGGTAGGCCTCCATAATTCTTTTTTTTTTTTTTTTGCGACTGGCTGATAAGGGGATCCAAACTCTTGACCTTGGTGTTATGACACTGTGCTCTAACCAACTGAGCTAACCGGCCAGCCCAAAACCCTCCATAATTCTCAAAGGTAGGCTGCTAACTAGACCTGAGCTTCCTATCAGCCAAAGCAGAGGGAAACCTGCCTGTTTTGAGACTTACAAGGTCCACAAGGTTAAAATGTACCCAGAAGCAGCTCAGCTTTTTCTGACACTAAAGTCTGAAAGAAATTCTTGTGGGACCTCTGAAGGGGCGAGGGGTGTTGTCCCAGGCAACACCTTCAGCAACAGTCTTAGATTGCTATGGTTGGAATGTTTGTGTCCCCCCAAATGGGCATGTTGAAATCCTGACCCCCAAGGTGACGCTATTAGGAGGTGGGGCCTTTGGAGGCGATTAGGTCATGAGGACAGAGCTCTCATGAGCGGGATTAGTGCCCGTATAAAAAGGGTCCAAGAGAGACCCCTCGGCCCTTCTTCCATGTAAGGACAAAGCGAGGAGGTGCTGTCTGTGATCCAGGAAGCAGCCCGTTACCAGATACCGAGTCTGCTGGCTCCCTGGTCTTGGACTTCCCAGCCTCTAGAACTGTCCCATATAAATTTCTGTTGTTTATAGGCAACCCGGTTTGTGGTGTTTTGTTATAGCAGCCTGAATGGACTAAGACACGGACGCAGTCACACAAACACCATCGGGCCGCTTCCTGTAGGGTTGCTCAGTGTGTATAAACTGAGGGCTTTGATGCCAAGGTCTGAGCAATAAAACCGAGTCTGTGGAGGGCCAGACCCAGGTGGTCCACCTCGTTCATCCAGGAGACACAGTTCAGATTCTTCCAGAGAAGGGCTTCTCAACCTCAGCACTACTGACATGTGGGGCTGGATCATTTTCTGCTGTTGGACACTGACCTGTGCATCATAGGATATTTAGCAGCAACCGTGGCCTCTGCCCACTAGAGGCCAGAGCACTCCCTCAAACTGTGACAGTCCAAAGTGTCCCCAGACATTGCCAAATGTCCCCTTAGGGGCTAAAAACCACTGCTCTTAGAGGAGGAGTGAGACACCTTGTCTTTTTACTTTTTTTTTTTAACATAACAATTTAAGACAAATAAAAATGTTTTCAGGGCGCATGGTTTTTATTCACAACAACAACAACAAAAAGATTGGGGGAGTTCCATAAGGAGAAATGTATATACTTACATTTTAAATTACCCAGTTGATTGAGAAAGCTGGTGCTTCTTTTTGGCCAGTCAAGTGTTTCCGTGTGGGTAGGCTTGAGAAATGGCTGTGCAGAGGCAGCTTTCTAATATTTCTTTCTGCAGTAAGATTGAAGGATGAGTCGAGAAGGTGGCCCTGGCCCCGCAGGCTGTGCTCTGCAGTTCTAGGGCTGCAAGCGGACTGTGTGTATCATCTCCCGTCCAACTTGGGAGATGATCCTGAATCAATCACTTCTTGCAGCCACAGCTCCTCTCTTACCCCCAGCCAAATCAGGGTTGACTGCAGAGAGTTTGAGGTTGTATTCTCCGAAAAAAAAAAAAAAA